AAGCACCCATTCTTATTAACCATAGTACCCGCTTAACTGTAGACATCTTTCTCTGAGAATGTCATATACTAAACAATCACGTCGCAACACTACTGCCCCATCCACAGTTGGTGGATGCGAGTATAAACACCTTCAAGAAATGGATCGTCGGCGTGCGTGACTTCCAAACAAAGAACAAACAGAACAAAGTTGTCTTCGCAAAGGTAAAGGCACATGCATGCATGCACACTCTGCACACGTGTCCACAGAAACTCTACACACGCGTATGAACCTGTGGGTGTTGTTATGTGATGCATGGCCGTCGGTGATGGCTGTGCGAGATTGGTAACCAGACAGAAATATCAGCCATCTGGCGCAATGGAGATATGCACTTTACACTAAAGATATGTACTTTACACTGGAGATATATACTCTACACTGGAGATATGTACTTTACACTGGAGATATATACTCTACACTGGAGATATACTTTACACTGGAGATATACTTTACACTGGAGATAGAGATATGTACTTTACACTGGAGATATATACTTTACACTGGAGATATATACTTTTCACTGGAGTTATACTTTACACTGGAGATATATACTTTACACTGGATATATATACTTTACACTGGAGATATGTACTTTACACTGGAGACATATTCTTTTCACTAGTTGTATGTACTTTTCACTGAGAGTGGGTCATGGTAGTCACACATACCATGTGTTCAGTGTGGTGGTGGTGGTCTTCGGTATCCCACCTGGCATGCGTGATGGGTGGCGTGTAAGTCGCTTAACAGGAGCGCTGACGAAGGCGTATCGCGTGCCACAGTTGTAGTTGTGTGTATGTTATTGATACAAGTATACGCACATCTCCGTTCAGTGTGCTGTGGTGTTTGTTTGTACACAGAATTCTATTGACGTGTAACAGAATTGATTTGTATGTACATAGACTTATATTGACATGTAGCAGAATTGATTTATATGTACATAGCCTACTACTCACACAGAGAGTGGAATTAATTTGTATGTACATAAAAACGTAGAAATAGTTTGTATGTACATAACCCTCTATTGGCATAGAGTAGAGTCTTCCAACAACATGTAATGTATGACAACATACTTTCGTTATAGCAACACATCAAACGTAGGACCTATCTGCGACACACGGTATATAGCAGCCAACAAAACATATGGCTGACACTGGTGCGTTGCCATGGTAACGGACACACAGACAGCTTACTACTGAAACACAGTACGTAGGTATACCCAGTTTATATCTCATGCTGCGAGAGCCTGACCCAAGTGATGCACTATCCAATATCACAGCCCACATTCGCCCATGCGAGTCTTGCGACGCGGCTGGAGAAACTGCGCAAAATCAGAAAGGACCACCAGACACTGCGACAGGTTATACGCAATGTGCTGACTACCTCAGACCTCAAAGGTACGCGTTTGGTACAAAGGACTATATAGGCATATCATAGATATATGCATATATCTTATAGTTATTATTTGTATACATATATAGTAGCA